AGTTAGGTAATTATGGGGCCAGCTCAGTGTTGTGTTTGCAAGATGTTCTGGATGTTTGCGTCCAGTCGGACTTCATCTGCGAGCGATGTAAGTTAGTGGACTCACTCATGGTCAAGGTTCGTGACCTCGAGGAACAACTGGCTCTCATCCAACATAACAATGAGTTAAAGGAGAGAGCTAACATGCCTTTTAGGGGGACTGTGTGTACGTCACAAGTGCGGAGGGGAGAGAATGATGAACAGGTAGGTTGAGAGAGCTGGGTGAACGTAGGTCGTAGACGTAGAAAAGGGCGTACACAGTTCACAGAGGCGGCATCTCCTGAAGTAACGGAGTCTAACCACTTTCAGGTGCTTCCAGCTTTAGAGCCTGTAGAGACTGGGGAGGCAGGAGGGTCCTTGGGCACCAAGCACCTAACCCTAACCCTACCCCCAGGAGGAGGGAGGTTGTGGTAGTAGGGGATTCAATTACACAATGTAACAAAAAATTGTTTGGCTGCTATTTTTAACTGTTTTTACACAATTTTGAGGTGCTGAAGTCAGTGGTAGCCTTTTTTTATTTGGTTTGTCATATTTACTTTCTTAATCAAGCTGAATTAGATGACTTAGTGAGAGATTTGGGTCTAACAAAAGGTGGTGCAGAGTTACTAACATCACGTTTGAAAGAATGGAATCTGTTAGATTCCTCATGCCAAGTATCCGTGTACAGAAGCCGACATGTCAAGCTTGCCAAGTTCTACACTATGAGTGATTCATTGTGCTACTTCTGTGACGTTTCTGGACTTTTTGAAGCAATTGGTATACAGCATATTCCAGAAGAATGGCGTCTTTTCATAGACAGTTCATCAAGAAGTTTGAAGGCCGTTCTTCCTCTTAATGGCAGTGTACATCCTTCAATACCCATTGGTCATTCTGTGCACATGAAAGAAGACTACGAAAATGTGAAAGTGTTAATGCAAAAGATCAAATACACAGAGTACAAGTGGGATATGTGTGGTGATTTTAAGATGCTTGATTTTCTAATGGGACTGCAGGGTGGATTTACGAAGTATCCATGCTTTTTATGTCTGTGGGACAGTCGGGATAAGGCTCAGCATTACGTTCAAAGAGAGTGGCCACTGAGGCAGAACTGGCAGCCAGTAGTGCATAACGTTAAATACGATGCTCTGGTGTCTCTTGAGAAAGTCCTGCTACCACCACTGCACATCAAGTTGGGTTTAATCAAGCAGTTTGTCAGAGCTTTGGATCGAGATGGTGCAACGTTCCATCATATTAGTTTGATGTTTCCAAAGCTCACTGAAGCAAAAGTCACCGCGGGCATTTTCATTGGACCTCAAGTCAGACTGATGCTAACATCTCAAGAGCTGGAAGATAAAATGTCTTCTGTTGAAAAAATTTTGTTTGGTGGTTACTGGTTTTCTTGGCAATAACAAAGCAGAGAATTACCAGGAATTAGTAGAAGACATGATAGATGCCTTCAGAAGTTTGGGGTGCAGGATGTCATTGATTCTGCATTACCTACATTCACATTTGGATTTCTTAAGGCAAAATCTTGGGGAAGTCAATGATGAACATGGGGAACGATTCCACCAAGACATTCAATCGATGGAGAGACAATATCAGGGCAGGTGGGATACGGCGATGATGGGAGATTACGTGTGGGGTTTGGTACGCGGCGACAACACTGACCACAGAAGGCAGAAACGTTCCAAGATTCATTTCTGACAGTGATCATTAGTGAACAGTTGCTACAGTCTAATGAGAGCCTTTGCAAACTAATTTGAATGCATTTGACGACTGACTATGTTTAATTCTGGCTTATGTTTACTACGTAAGAATGTAAATTGTATTATAAAATCTAGATTTTGTAATTTTGCTTTTGTGAAAAGACCGTTGAAGGTATGAAAAAACTAACGCCATATTTGAATTCAGCATGTCAAAATTAGTTAAGAAGCATCAAAAAATGCAGACAAACAAAAAAATGTAAAAAATTTGTTACCCGGTGTTATTAGAGGTATAGACAGTTACTGTATGTGTGCACCTGTGATAGAGGGTCCCGTACGGTGTCTTGCCTGCCTGGTGCCCAGGTAGGGGACCTACCTACTGAATCATGTAGACAGGCTTTTGGCCCCAGCCGGGGTGGATCCAGTGGTCGTGGTGCATGTTGGCACCAATGACATAGGAAAGGGCAGGAGGGCTGTTCTGCAGGATAAATTTATAGAAGTTGCAGATAAGCTTAGAAGCAGAACATCCACGGTTGTATTCTCTGGAATACTTCCCGTGCTACATGCAAGCCAGGCTACGTTAGTGTGGTGCACCCAAATTGGTGCAACCACATTTGGTGGTATATGTACTGATACACAGTAAAACGTTTTATTCCTTTTAAATTAGGACTAACATCTTGGGGAAAGCAGCGAATTATTATTTGACCTTTAGCAGGACATCCTGTAATAAAAGGAAGGGAGGGGAATAATGAATAAGACAGCGTAAGGGGGGGGGGGGGGGGGAACCTTTAATGCGGTTGTTATTCGTTCCCGGGAG